TCAGCAGACTCACATAATAGAAGATCTCGCAGAAACACAGTCACAGATGAAAAATCTGCAAGCGCAATGAATAGAATCGCAGATGCCTTGTCTAGAGAGGAGTCAAATGTCGTTTTACCAGCGCCCCCTCCATCGGATGAAGTTGACGCCATGTTGCATGCAGCAGGACTTCAATTGCGTCGACTACCGTACGCGAGACGGATGGAAACACTTTTGGACATCGTACAAATAGTTCACACTCGAGTGATGAATAAGGAAACGCAATAAAACGAATATCGAAGAAATGCAATAAAAACATTATATTTTTGTTTAAAATATAGTTTATACATTACTTATAAAAATGTAATAGTTTAATATATTAATATGACATTAAAGCGTGCAATACAAGTGCAAAATTCAGTTGTGATTTTTATTTAATCCTTTACCTATAATGAAACTGCAACGGGTGCTTCAAATTTCTTTACAGCAGAATATTTACATAACCGAACAGAGAGCGTATTAAAAATAAAGTATTAATCTTACTTAAAATGTACTAAGCTATTCCATTATCGCTCAAATTAAAGGGTTTTAGTTACGATTATATTGCCAGAATACAGCTCCTTCTCCATTGAAAAAATTAGAAAATTCTTCCCTAATAGCTATGGCAGATCGGCTACTGTTATGGTTACCGTAAATACTAACATCTTGGAGAGCCGAATCCCCTACTTCTTGTCTCCAAGATGCAGGAATTAAATCGTTAGAACCATATTGATCACCCGTATTTGGTGAAATATATTCATTTGTATCGTCACGCTTTCGAAGCCAATTATGGAGACATATGATGGCCTTTAATCATGTTGATTGTGTTACAACAGTAGCATTGATGGGTCTTTTAAGAAGTTTTCACTGACTGACCAATATTCCGAAGGCATTTTCAGTAGTTTTTCGAGCACGGCTGAGACGATAGTTAAAAATACTTTGATCTTGGCTAAGACCTCCTCTGCCAGGATGCGGCCGAAGTAAGTAATCACTTAGTTGAAATGCTTCGTCACCGACAAGAATACGATACGGCAAAGGCATTCCATGATCGTCTGTCAGCCGTTCTGGTTTCGGAAAATTTATTTGTCTCTCATTGAATTTTTGGCCCATTATGGAATCTCTAAAAATTCCGCCATCACTGCGACGGCCATAGGCACCTATTTCGACTAACGTGAATATATATTTGGCATCACAGATTCCCAACAATACAATGCTGTGAACATTTTTGTAATTAAAATATGCGGAGCCAGCATTGTCAAGACCACGGTCGTATACACAGGTCTGGCAACTCCGGTGGTGGGGGGTGACTCACTTATTGAAGCTAGTCGGGCTACTAGATCGCAACGACAGCGGCGGCCAGACAATGAATTACAAAACGCGCCAAATTTAAGTACGGTTATAACAAGACAAATAAAGAACGCGATGCTGACTAGCGGGCAATAAATTCGTTGTACATGCAGGCGAGCACGATAAATATGACCAAGTTTTATTATACCGTGATTTTAAGTAACGTTTAGTCGAGTGTTTTTAGCTACGGCATGAGACATTTTGATGATATTGGTGTTTGATTCTGGATGAATCATTCACCAATGAATCATTGTTTCGAAGCGGTCGGGAATGAGGAAGTCTGAGGCGAGTGAATCGAACGAGTCGAAGCTCTGGTAAAAGTGAGCTTTATTTCTTTAATATATATACATGATAACTTAGTGCATCAGCGCGTGAATTGTGGATAGGGCTTTGTCTTTAGATTTGTATTGTGCAGGCGCACAGGGGCGCCGCGCCGGGCTTCTCAAAAAATACGGTGGTCTAGAGCAAGAGCCGGTGATTGGCTGCTCGCTTAGCCACTATGAGTGTTTCGCGGTTGTTATTCGCGTCTACTGATTTTCCCGGAGTCGGGGGAGTTCGATCCAGGGGCAACTCCGGGATTTCAAGGGAGGGCAGGGCCGGTGCGGTTTTCGTCTCCCTGCTCCTTTTCTTCTTTTTCTTGCGTTCCTCGGTCTGGGTGCCCACAGACCTCCAGGAATTTGGAGGTAGAGGCCTTTCTGCCCTCGGATCGCCAGGCACTAGTGTCAGTCCTGGTGGGCGTGTGATTCGCCTGTGCGACTCGGGGATCGTCACCCTTATTAATGGCCACCACAGCTCTGGTGGAGGTGCCGGTCCGGCAGCGGTTGGTCGTCGTGGTGGCGAAGGCCTCTTGGCTCTTCTCCTTGGTCGTGGTCGTCGGCGGCCTCTGCTAGAGCGGGCAGAGTTGCCCTGTGCTACTACCACCACAGACCGAACTTGTCCAGTTTGGCGGGTGGGAGGGGCAGACTCTCCCCTGCTCAATAGCAGGCGCAAGTCGGTGGCACGTCGTTCCGAGGAACGGTGCGAAAATTCCGCTCGCTCCAGGTTGGAGCGGAATATGCAAGGTTCGTCTCAATCACGGTCGCTACAGCCGGTATATTTAACGCCCGGTATATTGTAGCCTCAACGTGAGAGAAGAGAACGCCCAGCAAACGCAAAAGGATTAAAAGATATTAAAATTTTTAATACCTTTGAATCCCTTTTTTGGGGGAATTAGATGAAATTAGATGGGATTCGAAATGAGATGGTCCAATCCCATGGAATCCAAAAAAGAAATTTTCAATTTCATCTAATCCTATGGAATCTGTAAAGGTTATGGAATTGCATGGCATTAGATGGTTTAGAAAACGTCTCGCGCCTCCTCCGTAAGGGCATTACACGCACTACTGCCGACGGGCAATTAGCCCAAAAATGAGATTTGTAAGATTTGTCAGGCCCCGTAGGGGGTCCCTTTACATAGCAGTCGAGACGAAACTTTAAACTCGAGAAGATGCCCCGGCGATGCGACGCCTAGCGGCGTCGACGCAAACTGCCGGTAATGCAAATACCGCGCGGGCGTGTACTATTAGTGGCGCGTACCACCACAGAGTTCAACACGGACACTTTTCAATCCCTATCCTGGCATTCAATGGTATTCATTTTATTGTCAGAATAGACGGAATTCAATGGAATTCAATACGGAAATTTTTAATTCCTAGTTTGGCATTAAGTGGTATTTATTTCGTTAACGGAATCAATGGTATTCAATAGAATTCATCACGAAACTTTCCAATCCCTAACCTGGCATTCAGTGGTATAATATTTTTGTGTCGGAATTGGATGGGATTCAAAAAAGACAAATTTTTTCCAAAATAAGGAATTCCATGATATTGAAACTATTTCAATCCCTTTTTTGGACAGAATGGAATTCGGAAAGTCCTTAATTGAATTCCTGGCAATCCTGTTTTAATTCTTTTCAATCTTTTTTCGTTTGCTGGGGTAGGACCACTTTGCACAGAATGCACAACTAAAATTGTACCTTTTCCAGAATGCTCTAGTAATAACTGATGCCCATGTTTCCGTCTTCAATCTGTTTTTGCTTTTAGACTCATCTGGCTTAATTAATGACCATTCTTCACTCGTAAGTAAGAGATCGAAAGAGTCACATTCCTGTAGATTTTCATTTCGTATGTCCTCTGGAACATAATCATCGTCTGGTTCTGAAGTACACAATTCTTCATGATCAGATTCTATTTCATCTATTTCATCTTTAATCAGATAAGGTTTCGTTTCCGGAGATGTAAAAATTCCTTGATTACGTCGAGCTTGTGCCAAATCCCCTTGTTTGTCATACCTCACGTGTGTATAAACAGAACGAGGTAGCCACCTTCCATCTAAGTCTTGGCTCATTGTTTTCCATAATGTGTCTCCATATGGTGGAAAATCGTTTGTTGCAAGACGATGAATATGTTTTTCGATCAACTCAATAACCTCTTTTTGAGACACCTTTGGTTTTCGACCCGTGTTTGAATTGAAGTTCTAGAAAAAAAATTATTAAATATCTTACGGTCAAGGATTAAATTATAGACACTTCACGTTACATAAAAGAGAATTATATAATAATTTATGTATGAAAGAAATAAATCAAGGCAGGAGGAAGGCGAAATTTGTATAGATCTATAATTAAGTCTTCCCTTCTTATATGTGTTACTAAATAAACAACTAAATAATAAAAACACGTAACCTTTTTTAACCTTTTATTATAAATAATAAAACCTTTTTTATGGTTAATCTCTAGAGGTTATGGTAATCTCCATTACAATGTTTAACAATCATCACGTAGAGCTAGTAGTCGGTTGTCTTTTGTTTTCTGAATAGCTTTGACAATAAAAATGGTACTATTTTCAAAAGTGGAAGCGCGCAATTTCAAATGTTCTTTTAAATTTTTTCCTTCAATTGTTAAAATATTTTGGCAATATTGTAAACTCTAGTTCAAATGCAAAATTTTATTAAGAATATTTACTGTAATTGTAATTTTCAACTAAAAATATAATTTAACGTGTAAAATAAAAAAAAGTTAAGTTCTATTGAAATTGTATTGGAGACATGTATTATTTGAAAATTGTTTCTTATATAAACAAAAAATGATAACAGGCCTATTCAATTTACCATTAGGCAGTGTAATATAAACATTTTAGCAAAAATAACTGAGAAAATAAAATACAAATTCTAAATATAAATGCCCGGCGCAATATCTATGTAAATCCGTTTAATGTGATGGTCACAACGTATCGTAATACTTAAGTGCTTATAAGTATGAAAATTTCAATTATATAAATAAATTACGTTGAATCCTTGTTCTAAAAACGTTTGATCGTTTAGTGTTAACAAACTTGTAAATCCGACAATTTTTTATAATGCTATCCTTATTTTATTCCTTTTTCCATAAAGGTCGATTTATCTAATAACTCATAACATGTATATAAAACTCATATAAATTATAAACAATATAACTCATATAATTCTTTTGACTAAATATATATTTATTTTATAAATAACTTGAAATTTTTTTCAATCCTGTTATAAAACAAGGATTCAACGTACGTATATTCTTCACAATAGTGATTAAAAATAGAATTAACCATATGACAATACACGCGATTAATAATTGGATACATTAGTCTTTGGTAAGCTTTTATGGCAGTGTTTCATTTCCCTACCAGCGCGGAGGAGTACAGTCTTGCTGATTAATTAAGGACGGTCCACTACGTAGCAGCATAACAAAAATTTCTTTAACGTGATAAACTTGAAAAGATATGTATCTTTTTAATTAAAACTTCTTACCTCCAAGCAATGAGAGGTGCCAATCTCTCGGTCAATCTCTGATAATATCTCTCCAGCTCCATAATCCCGCTGATCGAGACCAATCAGATTCTTATTGTGCCGCAAAGCGTCGAGACACTTTTTCTGGAAATCTTTCAAACACAAACGAAGCTTGTGCTGCAATCTGGTCGGCTGCGCATTTTGTTCGCGCAAACCGGAAAGAAACACGACCGCTACTTCAGCGGGTCCTTGATTAACCGTCGTGCCAATGCAACCTTGAAGGACCATTTGCAGCATCTTTGCGTCAGGTGGTTCTTGAGCGGTTGCAGCAGCCACCTAATTAAGATTACATAAAAATGTATTACATGTGTACTGTAAAAATATTAAGATGTGAGAAATCGATCAATACCTCGAGAGTCTTCTTCTGTATGTCTTCAATTGCCACTTCGATGGGACTCAGGACTATCTGTTTTCGAGCCACAACTCAATTTCTGGTTTTCAGATATGGGAAATGTGTCGTCACCGTCAATATAGTCTTCCGTTTACACCGTTCACATAATTCACCGTAAGCTTTGCCACCAGGAGTAAAAGATGTCGCATAAACAAATCGTTCTAAAAACAAAAGCCATTATCGAAACAAATTGTTAATTACTGTATAATTAATTACTGTTATCACAAAAAAATATTTTGTCTAAATCAATACTCACTCATGTTGAAATTCCGATGAAAAACTGTAAGTCTGTGTCTAAGCTCGTGTGCTTCGAAGTACGGCTCCACGTAAGTGATCTGTACATAAGCTTTGTCCGGTTCCAGCTTGCTAGGATCCACAGGATTCGAATCCTTTATTATAACTATATTCTCCGCGCCGAATCTCTCGGCATAAAAGTTCTCGAGTCTCGAGAATATTTCCAAAAGTTTTGTTAAAATTGGCTCTTTGTAAACAAACTTTTCGCCGGCGAGATCGCCGAATCTGGCGCCATAGAAACCAACTCTGAAGTACGTCCCAAAGACACGCTTGCCGGCCAATTGTTCTACACGCGTATATGCCTCGTGAAGTTTACTAAAAAAAAGTTCCAAAATAATATCTTATGCAGTAAATTTGAAAAAGATGTGCCCTCCATATCATACTAAACAATTTAAATTTTCTTACCCGTGAATGTTAGTTAATTTATTGTAGTCATGTGCAGCTTCTGCTATAGGTAGCAACGCCCTATAGACGTCAGAAATAGCTTCGTACATTCCAGTTGCGTGAAAAAAGCTAGGCGCGTGCTCCAAAAAACCCGTCAATCCACTTTCTGAAAAATCAGGGTTTAAGCAAAGCCCTTCTTTCCTTCTGATTAGTACGTCATCGCCGACGGCGCTCTCCTCTAAAGCGTTCGGTGTTACGGCGTTCACAGCAACGGCTCCTACGGGCCGAACGCCGTCACCAGGTTCGAGTAGATGAAGATATTCCACTACCAGAGCGGCACTGTGCACCAAACACATTGCTGCTTCCGTGTGATTTTTCCTTTCCATGTGCTGCTGCGCCATGTTTGCGAGCCAAGTCAGGCGAAGATCAGGCGATCCTTGATAACCCTTGGCGATTCTAAACAAAATTTAGATACATCCCTTAGCTCGTTATGTTTACTTTGTGTTAAGTAGGCAATTCTTATATATTTAGTATGTTCATGGTCGCGCTAGCGACACCCTGCGTTTTCCGTCTTTGTGCTTGTATAGCTTCAGGTTGAGCTGGCACTTCCGCCTCGTAAGCGTTACGTTTTGTTCTCTCTCGAAAGTTCGACAAGAAACTATGTAAAGCTATAATAAAGCTATCTTATATTTATAAGCTGCAATAAGTGTTTCCTTCATTCCGGCTTTGACAATTGATTACATCGGTTACTATTAAGATATCTACACAAAGATATCTACAGGTTATGGGCCCAGTCGGCTAACCTCGCTACGGACTCGCTTGTAGAGAAACGACCTTTGTTATAACGATGGAAGAAGACAATAAACATCGTGTGCCGCTCTTCGATGGCACGAATTATAATAATTGGAAGTTCCGTATGGAAGTACTGCTGGATGAAATCGGTTTGAAGGAACACATCGAATCTCAGATCTTAGACGGTGAGATAACGGTTGGAGAAACAGCAGAGGCGTACAGATTGCGGATGACAAACTTGAAGAAGAAGGATACAAAATGTAAGTCTCAAATTATTCAGAGAATAGCTGATTCGCATCTTGAGTACGCGAAAGACAAGTCAACTGCCTTTGATATTTGGACGGAATTAAAAAATGTATTTGAACGTCGAGGCGTAGCAAGTCAACTGCTTTTGCGGAAAAGATTATTATTAATGAAATTTAAATCTTCAACTGAATCTTTGTCGTCGCATCTGCTAAAGTTTGAATCGCTTGTTCGACAGCTTAAGTCCACAGGAACGAATATGGAAGAAACAGACATAGTGTGTCATCTGTTGTTAACAATGCCTTCGGAATACGACGTTGTGGTAACGGCGTTGGAAACACTGTCGAAGGAAGCACTGTCATTGAGTTTCGTTAAAAATCGCCTACTGGATGAAGAATCTAAACGAAAAGGAGGCGGTAAACCAACAAAAGGCGATGTTCACTCTACAGCATTTACTTCGTCAAGCGATAATCGGAAAAACAATATACGTGATACTGGAAACAAACAATTCAATTACAGGTGCTACAACTGCGGTGCATACGGTCATCGACGATCGGAGTGTAAAAAGCCGAAGCAACAGCCAGATGGAAGTCGATAAAATAAAAAGGAAAAGCAGGCGAACCTTGCAACTGATGATGATAAAACTGCAGTCAGTTTTTCAGCTGTGATTAATAACGAGAGGAATGACAACGGTTCTACCTGGATCTTGGACTCAGGAGCGTCAGAACATTTGACCAAAGATGAGAAGCATTTGCAGAACGTTAAGTCATTGGCTCAACCTACCAAAATTCGTATTGCAAAAGCAGGTGTAACATTATCGGCAAATAAAGTAGGTACAATTTCTGGTAAAACTATTGTTAACGGGAAAGAAGTTGAAGTCACTATTAAAAATGTTCTTTACGTACCTGGACTGGAATTTAATTTATTATCGGTATCGAAACTTGAAGCAAATGGTTTTAAAGTTGTTTTTGAAAACAGAGAAGGAAAGATACTAAAAGATAATCAAGTTTATGCAGTAGCTCATCGGGGTCATCAGGTCTACGAGTTGAAAGTCTACAGTCCGACAGGAATTGCAACTATCGCGCACGTGAAGGAAGATGCTAAAATTTGGCATGAACGCTATGAACACATCGGATTCAATAATCTGAAAAAGGTCGCTGGAATGGTGGACGGAATAGATCTACGAAATTTGGAACTAACAAATGATAAAATTTGTCATACTTGTGTTGAGGGGAAGCAAACTAAGTTACCTCATAATCAAGAGAGGCCAAGAACAAAACGTCCATTGCAGCTCATCCACAGCGATCTCGTTGGACCTATTACACCCGAGTCACGTGAAGGAAATCGATATATACTCACATTTATCGATGATTATACACATTTTACAGTTGTGTATTTACTTAAGAAGAAAAGTGAGGTTTTTCACTATTTCCAAATCTATGAAGCCATGGTTACTGCGCACTTTAACTTAAAGATCAGCAGATTTCGTTGTGACAACGGTCGGGAGTACACTTCGAGAGAAATGATTCAGGCGTTCCAGAAGAAAGGGATTCGTATCGAGTACACCATTCGGTACACGCCTCAACAAAATGGCGTGGCCGAACGAATGAACAGAACAATTCTCGATAAAGCACGGTGTATGATACTTCATTCGCAGCTAAGCAAGAGTTTTTGGGCTGAAGCAGTTTTAAGTGCCATTTATATTATAAATCGTAGTCCCACAGTAGCGTTGGAAGATGTAGTTCCAGCGGAACTATGGTTTGATAAGAAGCCTGATGTAAGGAAATTGAAAGTTTTTGGATGCATTGCGTATATGCATATTTCGAAGGAATTGAATCCCAGAAAGTTTGATCCCCGCTCGAAGAAGTGCATCATGGTAGGATACACAGATAATGGCTATCGCTTGTGGTGTCCGGAGGAGCAACGAATAATTTGCAGTCGGGATGTTATCTTCGACGAAACGAAATTCAAACACCCTCAAACATTTGTTGAAACAAACGTTCAAGAAGCGTTGAAATCTGAACAAGAGGAAGAGGAGTTCGCATCAGCTGTCGAAGAGGATCAAGAGCGAAGCTTGTCGGAAACAGAATCCATTCACACGGAAGAAGAGGAAGAAACTGCAGATAAATTTAAAACTACAGATGAGCAATATACAGTACCTCGTCGAAGCACTCGTAAAACGAAGAAGCCTAATTATCTCCAGGATTACTGTGTGTTGGCCTTACATGCCGAAAGCTATGTTGAAGATATTCCGAATTGCTATGCTGAAATCAACTCTCGTGATGATAGAGAGGAATGGCTGAAAGCAGTACACAAGGAACTAACGGCAATTCAAGAAAATCAGACTTGGAGTTTAACACAATTACCCAGTGGAAGGAAAGCAATCGACAACAAGTGGATATTCAAGATCAAGCGTGATGAAGATGGGAATATCCAGCGATATAAGGCACGACTTGTGGTGAAAGGTTGTCTACAAAAGAAGAGTTTTGACTACAACGAGACGTACGCACCAGTAGCGAGACTAACTACAGTAAGAATACTACTGTCAACTGTCGTTAATGAGGATCTTCATGTGGATCAACTAGATGTCAAAAATGCCTTTCTTCATGGAAAACTTACCGAAGACATATATATGAAGCAACCGGAAGGCTGTGAAGATGGGACATCACGAGTATGCAAGCTTAATAAAACACTATATGGACTCAAGCAATCACCGCGTGAGTGGAATTCTGAGTTTAACGAATATATGAAGAAAATTGGCTTAACTCAGTCAAAATACGATCCATGTTTATTCTACAAAGTAGACGGAGAATCAAGGATTTATCTACTGCTGTATGTTGATGATATCATCATTGCTGGAAACGATCGGAACCGAATAAACGAACTTAAACGCCTATTGGAGAAACGTTTTTCCATGAAGGATCTCGGATCACTGAGGAATTTTCTCGGAATCAAAATAGAGAGACACGAGCATGGGATGAATCTCAGTCAATCAACATACATTTCAAATCTACTTAAACGTTTTGGGATGGAAGACAGCAAACCTGCAAAGACGCCAATGGAAGCAAAATCATCAAGTGTCACTACGTTCCAGACGAATGAGACCGAAGACGAAAGAAGACCGTACAGGGAATTAGTTGGCTGTCTTATGTATGTCATGCTGAACACAAGACCAGACATCAGTGCTGCGGTGAACTATCACAGTCGGTTTCAGGAGAATGCAACCACTGAGCACTGGAAAGGACTCAAACGTATCCTTCGTTATTTAAAAGGCACTATTAATATGTGTTTAAGTTTTCAGAAAAATCAAGGTTCTTTGATCACAGCGTACGCAGATGCTGATTGGGCAGGAGCCGTGGATAGGAAATCAACAACAGGTTTCCTAATCGAGATCTTTGGTAATCCAGTCTGTTGGGTAACAAAGAAGCAGTCGACGGTTGCTCTGTCGTCCACCGAGGCGGAATACGTGGCCCTTGCCATGGCATCCACGGAAGTAGTTTGGGCGCGAAATTTCCTGCAAAAACTTGGCTGGAGGATGGACAAACCAGTTACAGTCTATGAAGACAATCAATCCTGCATACATTTGTTAAACAAGTGGGAACACCAAAGACTAAAACATATAGATGTAAAATTTAACTTTATTAGAGACTTGTACACTGATGGCGTTATTAATGTAACATACGTTCCTTCTGAACAACAAAAGGCTGACATTTTAACTAAAGGTGTAGTATTAGCCAAGTTTAAAAAATTAAGAAGTTTTTTAAATTTAAGATACTATTAGTTTGTTTGTACTAATGTAAAGTTTATTTGTCTAAGCAAGTTTTAACTAATAATCAAGAATGGAGGGGAAGTGTTAAGTAGGCAATTCTTATATATTTAGTATGTTCATGGTCGCGCTAGCGACACCCTGCGTTTTCCGTCTTTGTGCTTGTATAGCTTCAGGTTGAGCTGGCACTTCCGCCTCGTAAGCGTTACGTTTTGTTCTCTCTCGAAAGTTCGACAAGAAACTATGTAAAGCTATAATAAAGCTATCTTATATTTATAAGCTGCAATAAGTGTTTCCTTCATTCCGGCTTTGACGATTGATTACATCGGTTACTATTAAGATATCTACACAAAGATATCTACACTTTGAGTACCACGTCACTCAGATCTGAGTGACGCATAAGTTCTCGCAGGGGCCCTATCACCCATCTATGGGTGACGATTTTATTCACTCAAGTAGAAACAATCTCGTTACTTATAAATATATTGAATAAAACCTTATTTTTGCAGTACATTGAATATATATTTAAAACAAAACTATCAAAAATTCACTCTTGGGCCCCGCAGAGATCACGCTCGAAATGTGCTTGGCACTCGAAGTGTTTAAGTTAAATTGTTTGCTAAGATTCAGAAATCTTACCTATACATTAGATCCAAAAGCATTTCAGATTGAGTAGTAGATAATGTAAGACTCGCAAATATTAGCTCCACTTCTAACTTTAATTGCAGACATTTTACGAGAATTGTATGAACAAAAGGTTCTGTAGGTTCCGGGGCAACACTGATTTCTTGCCACTCGTCGTCAGGAGAAGTCGGAAGAGCGTAAAGCGGAAACAAGGCTTCCTAAAAAACAAATATTTAATTATTTAGTCAAATATAGAACAATAAATACAATATTTAATATTTAACATTTATTATTCAATATTTTATTAAATATTTAATAAAATATTTAATTGCGGAATGTATGAGGATAGTCTGGGGTTCAGAAGGTTCGACGGTTAAACGGGACACTCTCAATTTACTCACGAGTGAATTATCGTTAATCTCAATATCCATATTTACGTCACATACACAGAATACAAAATAAACGCCGACAGAAAGATGATCGATCCGACGGACCGAAGGCCCGTTAACGGAATATAGTTTCGAGCACCAGCGGATTTCGACTCGCACGAGCGTAACAAAGCGCGTAAACGAATGAGAAAGAGGGCGGCGCGTGACGGAACGGAGCGTTGATCAGCGCAAATAAAGAGATCTTGAAAAGCGCGAATATAGAACGGAGATCTTGAAACGCGCGAACGAAGATCTCGCTGCGCGCGATGACGCAGATTTTCGCTGCGTCAGCTGAAAACACTTCTTGGGCCTGCAAGGAGAGCGTGTTCCACGCCAAAACCAGCTCGCTCCCAATAACACGGGAGGCCGGTATCCAATTAATTGTTAATCTTTGGATAATCACACCCGCACATCCTAGTATTAACGCAGGAAAACAGCGGCACAATATACGGCGCGAGCAATCCCATGACCGATCGGTCTTTATCGCAGGCCCGTCATACAGGAACTAAATTCGCCGGATCGTCGCACAGCACGCAAAACCTTCGAATTCGGAAGCGGCGCAGGTATGCGAGAGCATGACCAGCGCGTGATACGATTGTAGGAGACGCGTGTACGCGTGATCGATTACACGCTGTTGTTGACTTACGGACTCGTTGTCTAAATATCGCGGAATAGAATATATCAGCAACGCCGAATCCGGAACAATATTTAATAAAATATTTAATAACAAATATTTAATAAATATTCAATATTTAATAAAATATTGAATAACAAATATTTAATAAATATTCAATATTTAATAAAATATTAAATAACAAATATTAAGAATATTTAATCAAAATAAAACGGACAAACTTGCCGTTTTATAATCCTATACCTGTCGATCCTCCAATCTTTTATGCTCGTTCATCTGATCGATCGTTTCGAGGCAAACACGATCTAACAAACTCGGCAGAAGAGGGTCATGTTGCGAATGCCGCAAATCCAGACTTGCCCAAGATCCTCTCGGAGTATCTCCGGAATTGGACAAATCATCCTCCTCGTTCGGTGATACACAGCCATTTGCATCTTCTTGATCTACCTAATTAAGATAAATCGCTTTTACTTCCTGCTTATCACAAATACATTAATTTTATCTCCAGCACTAGATACCTCGAAATCTTGTCTAGGTGTATCATGAAGCAATCTGTCTCTGGCAATAGGTGAGATTCTACCTTTGTATTTACGATATATTATGACCCAGTCTGAAGTAAAACTCTCAATGCATCTTTTCACATAAGGCGACACGGTATCACTGAAAGCCAAATGATCAAAATAAAGAATGGATGCCAAGTTTTAAATAACTGTATTGTAATAGCGTTTCGACTATTTTTTTACATTGATTCGTGCGATACTACTGGCTCCTCTGTTCGAATCTTCCTCTTTACGACTCTCAATTCGACGTCTCTCGGTGGAAAATCTAGTATTGGTTTTAAAGGATCACGGTCCAGCACTGACTGATGCTGTCCCAAGAATTCCTCGTAATCAAGTGGTTCTAATACCTCGTACAGGGACATCTGCGTATAAGAAATTAAATATTAATTTACTCCAAGATTATTGGCAATCTCTTTATATGCCAGTTTTCCAAAGAAGACTGCATACCGTGGAAAAAAATCCTGATACACTGCTCAACAAGAATAGGAAGAATACACAATAATAGGAAGTAGAAGTGGCAATTTGTCGCCTCACATCGGCAACATGCTGTTTGCTTAACTTGAGAGAAAACGCACGCTGGACCGAAAACATTATAAATGTCCCAGCAAATTAATCCGACAAGATTCTGTAACTGTTAAATGCCATATCGAAATAATACTTAGTCGTGGTTATGTTCTCAGTTGAATGTATGGTAATTGTTTTTATTTGTTGTAATGGCCTTTTAAATGCATTAATGCAGCA